GTGCTGCTCCCGCTCCTACACATCCGGGCCAAACAGTGACCGGCCTGGACCGGCCCCTGCTTCTAGCCACCCGGGGTCGGTCGGCCGGCCGGCAGTCAGTCGCTGCCCGGGGCTGATTTCTGAGGGACTTGCAAAAATGTTTATTAATGAAATGTTTTACGTAATAAATTAGATGATTAGGCATATGTACCGGCTCTGAGTCGCATTTGAGAAAAAAAACATGCTAGCGTGAAAATATATATGTTTTGAAAATTAAGCTGGTACCGAAATAATTGTTTTACCATGCATTGACAAACCAATTGCTCAAGCTTCAAACCAACCGAAATATAGCCCCGTGGGCCGTATTTTTTTTTTGGGGGGGGGGGGCTTCGGCATGGGGGCCCAGTTCGAAGGTCGTGCCCCCCCCCCCCCTTCAAAAATCCTGTGTGCGCGCCTGCGAACATACAACGCTAGAATATATGTAGAAACGCGCCATAATAATCAAATTACGGAGTAGGCATTCCATGTATGCATACCGGGACACTGGAGCCGCAGGCGGCAACACCCACTGCATGCTGAGGTATGTGCACGACCCTGTATATAAATGTACCCGTTTCGTAACCTCAGCTAATCGTGAACGATTCATTACCATAATTCTTGCTGTCCTCTCGTCTGGGTAGGTACTTGGGGAGTAATTATTGCGCGTGAACGCCAGCGAACGCACCTCGGGGATTCACACCTGCAGCATTTCACTAGGAAAAGCTATTAGGACGGCGGCTAGTTTCTAGTTTTTATTGACGTGCAAATTGTTCAGTTTGCGTTAGTGTCGGGTCATGGGTGAGTCTGTACGTTCCTGGCTTATGCAATTTCGATCACTTATACATATCTGGAATATATCGTCCTTGATATAATATGTTTCGATACTTTTTCAGTCATAGCTCTAGTTATTGTATGAAAGAAAATGCGTTGCATCAGGTTGTCAGTTTTCTCTGATCCTTGGCTAAATGTCCATTTCTGCTGATACCACTGCCATGCATATTCATTGCCGAATAAATGCATCCATCTACGACTGAAATAATTGACTTGTATATATGGATCAGCCTAGATGGTTGGATGTTGCCAAACATTCGGCGCCAAGCATGGAGTCAGTGGCCTTGAATTTAGGACAAGCGCGTAGCTTTGGTGCAGGTATCTAGTAATTTAGCAGCATATATTCGCGTATTTACGACGAGTAAACGCGAGAATTAAAGCACATCTCACTAAACTCTCCCTCCCTTTTCCTTCTCTCTCTCTCTCTCTCTCTCTCTCTCTCTCTCTCTCTCTCTCTCTCTCTCTCTCTCTCTCTCTCTCTCTCTCTCTCTCTCTCTCTCTCTCTCTCTCTCTCTCTCTCTTTCTCTCTCTCTCTCTCTCTCTCTCTCTCTCTCTCTCTCTCTCTCTCTCTCTCTCTCTCTCTCTCTCTCTCTTTCCCCACTCACAAAGCATATTTCTTTTTACCGTCGATCTTCCTTCTTCCATTCTCGGCACCCATGCCTTTTACCACCGTTTGCTTATATTTCTCAGTCGCAGCTATTGTACCACCGTCCACCACCTGTTGACCTGACCCCACGACACCCCAGCCGGACTCTCCCCTGTCCTTTCACGCCTCCATACCAACTAGAGACAGGCTGCAGCTCACTCTGCCTTCTATAAATTCGGGGAACACTCCACCCTCCGCGCTGAATATCGGCGAACTTTCATCGTAAACTTGGGTCATTTGCAACACGAAATGGGGATTCGCGGTAACTTGCATCTCTTCCTGCGCAGTCTTGTGACGTAATTCTATGCAAGATGGCATACGGTTTGGCGCTGGATGGCACAGTTTCAGTCCTTACCAGAAGTGTACATACATACCTACAGTTTCGGCGCAAAGTGGCACAGTTCCGCACCGGACCATAATTTCACACGGCTGTCCTGTCTCGTCCATCAGAAAAGTGCGTAATTCGCGCGCCCACCGGCCTCGGCTGGCCACCACAGCGGTGCCGCCGTGGCCGTCATTCCCAGGAAATTAGCCATTGGTGACGTCACTGGACCAAAGTGGGATCGCCTCAGGCTCCTCCCAGCGTGGACAATTCGCTGACCGATGGTGGTCCGTAACTACGGCTCCCCACAACAGAATGCTGCCGGTCACTCAAATTGAGCAGGCGTGGCCGCCGGTCGGAAATTACGACATCCGTCAAACAAAAACTATTATAGCGGCTGTGTCGTTTTTTTAGGAGCGACAGCCTGTGGTCGAGGTCACACTCACAGGGCGGTGGACATCGGCCGTGTCCGTGAGGTGGATTGTTATCGACTGATCCCTGTTTGGACATGGTTGGATATCGACTGCTCCCTGGTCAACAAAAGATAGGGCATTGTTTGGTTCAAAATTATTGATGGAGTTAAGTGTTTGTGCGAGGAACTTTGTAATAGTTATTTGAAAATATATAAGCATGACCTTTCCTCGATATTGAATAAAAAAAGTGCCGAAAAATGTACTTTATTGATAGAAAATATGTGATATTTCGGCCACTGGCCTTTGTCGAACATATATAATCAAGATAAACAATAGCAGTTGGAACGCGATGCGGCGAAACGAAACTATTGTTTATCTTAACAATAGCAGTTGGAACGCGATGCGGCGAAACGAAACTATTGTTTATCTTGATAATATATGTTCGACAAAGGCCAGTGGCCGAAATATCACATATTTTCTATCAATAAAGTACATTTTTCGGCACTTTTTTTATTCAATATCGAGGAAAGGTCATGCTTATATATTTTCAAATAAAAGATAGGGCACATAAAACATATTTCATTCAGTTATTTCTACATTTATATTTTAATGGATGTAGATATGGAATAAAATGTCGAATAGAAACATTGAATTTTGATTTCGACGGTGTTGATTTCTTAATTAGATTAAACGTTAAACATGACTATGAAATTGCAGAATTTTATACCACTAAAGCAGGAAGCGACCTGACCTTAACGTGATCCCAAAGGTATTAGGATATCTGACGCCTGTAAGAGCAAGAGATTATCATCATGCCTTGTGCAATGCCTACCTTCCATTATATAACGGTCGTTACTCGTTATATAATACAGCCATTACAAATGTAAAGGAAGGATAGCTTATTGAGAGTACGCGTATATATCAACCAAGTTTGATAAACATATACATTTCTGTTCCAAAGGTGGCTCCAGTTAGATATCCGGGAAAACATTGCAGATGAAACCCACTGTGGTAAAGTCTCCGGGTGACCGAGAGCGCCTGCCTTGGTGCCGTTGCTATTAGTTCGTTTGGATTAGTCCCCTTCAGAACAACTGAACTACCTGTCTCTCTTTATCCTAAGATCCCATGGCCCATCCCATTGGCCCTACAAGAAACAACTAGCTTAACCGAACATGGAGTACCAACTCTTTCAAGAACATATTTTGATTATCGAAACTGAGTCCAGTGCCGACATGAAACGTTATGCTTTATCGCTGTCTACCGCGGTAAAACGGTTGTCCGCTTGCCACCCAAGTAAGCATGAGTTTTGTTCTGATACCGGTTGGCGGCGGAAGGAAATATTGTTTTCGTTGCATGCCTTCTGTGGGGAAAAATGGACAGTCATGGTGTTTATCCCTGTATGATAATGCCATCAACCTTCCTCGAGATAAATGCGACAGTTTGCCAGCGAGAAAAATATGTGTACTGGTCTATGGTGTACTTCATTCCCGCATCAGCTGGTGTAGCCAAACAAATTGGCAATATAATTGTTACAAATTATTATTAAAAGATATAGGAAGCTGTTCTTGTAACTTTTAAGCATTAAATCCACATTTGCGTCTTGTGACAGGCTGAAAGCTCAGCCATGACACTCAACGTCAAATTTATATACGATGTCAGTACTTGACGGCCATTATTTCAATGCTACATCAAACTTAGCCCATGGTTAATGCTATTTATAGTCCGCTGATGACCACTACCGTGTTACAGGCACGCTATTTCGGTCACCGCATAAAGGGTCCTCGTTCCCACCTTATCAGCCCACGCCCCACAGCGTCGCAAATTAGCTAACAGGCTGCATAAAAGTTAGCATAGCCCACAAGGAAACATTCCTCCTATCACTGATGTGAATTTCCTGAAAATGCAGCTTTATCACTTCCGTTCAGTTATGAATGAGAGCTATCAGCAAGAACAAATGACTATATCATCAGGCATCGTGTTTGCAATTGCTCATTTCAACTGTTGGAGACGTTTTGAGACTATGGCTGCTGTGCAATTCATCATAATTCGTCAAATCGTCTTCCCAATATTCGTGAACAGTGGCGGATCCAGGGGGGGGGGCAAAATGGGCATTTGCCCCCCCCCAACGGCATAATTTTAACATTACGCCTATGGACGAGGCATGGAAAGAATCGATAAATTGTTATGGTTTGCCTCCCCAAAAAAAAAATTCTGAGCTGAATCCGCCTCTGTTCGTGAAAAGATGTTTTTACTCAGAAGAAAGGTTCCAGAAGACAAGACAGATAAAACGGATATCAGGAGAATACAAATAAGAACAAAAAGGGAGCACCAGCGAACAGAAAATAATTGGGAATGGTATACGACATGAACAGGAAGAAATGCACGAGGGCAGAGAGCGAGACACTGGTCAGGTCGCTGGTCAATTGGGCACATTGGCAGGCAGGGTGATATGTCAAGTGAGATGACAGTTTAGACGGGGGGGGGGGGCTAGCCATGCTGGGACGGGCTCAGCCCCCTCGTCTCGGCACGTGCTCTGACGGGGGGTCAGACATGTCAAACGATCGACGACATGCATCGGCGTGCAGTCGGACAGTGATCTATACCGGCCGCCCGGCGTTCCAGCACGCGGTCGACACGCGCTGTGACACGGTGCCGCCGGCCGGGCTCGGACCGACACCGGTCCGTCGGTCCGGTCCGGTCCGATTGGTCCGGTCCGGCGGCGCGCGCGGCTCTCCGGCGCGGTGCGGGGGCGGCGGCGGCCGCCGCTCAGTTGTCTGCGCGCCGCCGTCGTGGCCGCGTCTCTCTGCGCGCCGATGAGTGCCGGTGTCTGCCGTTGACAGCTCGTTAGAACAGACCGCGATCTGCCGTCCGTGATCACTCCAACATCCACCATGACGTCGGGCCGGTCGGCCGCGCGCCGGCTGCGGCTGCCGCTGCTGCTGCTGCTCGCCCTGAGTCTTTGGACAGCGCCCGGTACAGGTGAGTCCCGAGCCCGCGCTCCGCGCTCCTAGCACGTGCGCCGGCGGCTCCGACCGGGAGAAACTGTCAGTCGCACCGCGAACGCCGCCGCCGTGCCGCGAGAAAGCTGGCCTTCTCTCCAGGCCAGCTCAGCGACAAAGTCGTCAGTTGGCTCGTCCGACATTCACCTCACTTATCATTTAGCTCGCCCACCTGTATGTAAGCTCACCTGTCATTTAACTCGCCGACATTCGGCTCGTCGTCAGCTAGCTCGCTTTAGTTCATTCGTCCGTTCGCTGACCCGTCATTTGGTTTGTCCATCAGTTATAGCTCTCTCCGCCATTCAGCTCGCTATCCGTTCGTCAGTAGCTCACCTGTTTGTCAGGTTTGCGTTCAATCCAGCTCCTCCCGCCCTTCCGTATTCTGGCTGGCTTTTTGCCGGTCTGGGCGTATCTGCTGCGCGCGGCCGCCGGACGGCCGTGACTGCTGTGCACATGCGTGTGCAGAGGCGCACAGAACAGTTGTACGACCTTAGGCGGCGGGGTAAAAAGCCGCCGCGGTGTGCGCGCCGCTCCGGACGCAGCTGAGACGGTGGGACCCGGCGCTCGGACGGGGTAACGGAACCGGACCGCAGAGGCGACGGTGCCCGAGGTGGTCGGGCGGTCAGTCGCGACTGATGCAAGCGGATGTGACCGCAGTGGTGACGGCAGAGATTTCCGCACTCGTTTGAGAAAGCTGGCCGAGGCAGCGGATACGAATTGCAGTTGAATTGTAGCTGTGGGCTTTATGCTGTGGAGGCTTATCGAACTGCATTCTCGACAGCAAGCTGCAGAATGTGCCACACTCTGTCTTTTTATATCGCGACACAATTGTTATCTATAATTTCAGATATCCTAGTTTAGCAGCATAAATGGTTGTTCAGCTCAGTTGTCACTGAGGCCAGTCTAGCCAGCTCCGACGTAACATCTTGGCACAAACTGGTTATGGGCTGAAATCCACACAAATGCCAGCGTCCCGGGATACATGTCTGACCTCCAGAAAAGAGGCAGCTCTAATCCGGAGGCGCACCATAAACCCGTCGCTTCAGTCACCTCAGAGTGGCAGGTTTTGTGGTGTCTGTCACGCCCGGGGCAGTCCCGGTGTTTTCCGCTAGAACCCATCAGAGAAGAACGTGAGGTGTAGGTTTGGCCGAGATGATTCGATTAGCATAAGGGTCGACTCCGGTGTTTCCCCGCGTCGATCTCTGTCTCTCCCGTGTGGTCCCTTGCCCATTCTGTGCCCGTTCCGTGCTCGCTCCGTGCCCGTTCCGTGCCGAGCCTTCCCACGTTGATTACCGTGGGTCCGCCGGGGGCCGGCTGTTAAACGTCAGCTCCGATGGCGGGGTATGCTGTGATGATGAAGTCCAGGTGGTCGCTGACGTGGCCACCCGACTTCCATCCCCTCAGCTTAGCGGTTCTTCACGACCGCACACAGACATACACATGCACGCGGCGGGGTGCGTCAACACCCAGCAGGAGGGCAAACAGAGGAGAAAAACGGCACGGAATGCCGTCCGCTCAGCCATAGTTACCGTCAGATAAGATCAAAGTGCAGGTAAAGCCTGAAGATAAGGCGAGTGGAGTTGCGTGTTGCCTTCCTTCTTGTCCGCAAAGTCCGTTAGTGCCAAGCTATGACGGCGGCCTGTTTTACCTTCCAGTTTGCAATTACTTTTATGGCCGCTTTCACGCCTCAAGCTCTCAAGTTTCATTTTCTCATCGCCGTGGATCGTTCAAAACGGTACGCTGCGTCTGAGAGGTTGTCAAAGAAGTCGCCACTTACGCTTGACATGGCTTCACCAAAGCTCACTTTTAAACAAGTGCTCATGCTGTAACGCACGTCATGGTAGAAATGTATAGAAAACAACGACACTCGAAATGCACCAACTAGGTCACCAGTGACAGCGTGCTTGGTAAATGTGTTCTCAAAGAGCATTTGTCATAGCCACCATGAATTTTTGGTTCCTAAGCGCAGCATGACCTTTGGAGTGGTCCCATATTCATTGTCCAATGTTCATGTTATGCAACGACCAATGTGTTGAAGCTCCGCCAATATTTTTACGATCGCCCGCTGACATCTTACCGATAGGGCCGAGTATCAATGACAGTAATTACAGTCTATGAATCGGTGATTGGGATGCAGTTAATTAGAAGGGCGGCCTTGCTCGGCTCAAACGCTGATTTGCCCTAACTGCAGACCGACATGACTGCACTTGATGAGCAGCGAAATTAAAAGCTTCGTGCATATGATGACCGTATTGATTATGAAGAACATTTCATTGTTCTACCAGGGCACAGGCATTGAATTTTAATAGCTTTGAACAGACTTGGCTCGTATCTGGGCCGGAGAGGCCGACGGAGGACGGCCACCGATCCATCCTTCTGTCAAATCACATCATCTGGGCTCCACATGTGGTCCATTAGGAACAATAGAGCACCGTCATGCCTTCTGCGTAGCATATTCCAGATAGTATCTCCGGAGAGGGTATCGTACCCCGGGCCAGATTGAACTGTCAGTCACTGGCGCTTCTGTTCACCCCGGGCGGCCGCTCCGGTGACCTGCATCAGCCTCCATGAAAGTGAAACCTCACCCGTGCATGGGTTTGCGCCGCGCCAGGCCATGACCTGAGGTCGGCTCTCCAGGCCGGCTCGAGGGCGCCGCGCCGCGCCTCCTCTCACGGTGTGAGCCTTCTCTCAGCCGGTGCTCGACCCACATCGGGTGTGAGGGCTGTCGAGCGACCGCCGGGGTGGTGGCCTCTGTGGCCCTGTCACCGCGACCGCGCGCAGGCACCCACCGGCGGCCGGCGGCGAGCCCCCGGCGTGACCTGGCGACCCGCTGTGACCTGGTGTGACCTGGTGTGACCTGGTGAGACCTGTTGTGACTCGGTGGGAACCAGATGTCATTCTCTGCCCAGCCTGAAATGCTGGCGTCCGGTGGGTTTTCTTGGAAGAGTAGCCAAGTGGAGACAGAAGAAGAAGAGAGAGAGAGAGAGAGAGAGAGAGAGAGAGAGAGAGAGAGAGAGAGAGAGAGAGAGAGAGAGAGAGAGAGAGAGAGAGAGAGAGAGAGAGAGAGAGAGAGAGTGGGCACACGAAGGAGACGGAGTGTGTGTCGTCAAAGGTCACTGTGCCGTCGCCGGTACCAGACAGCTGTCACCTCCCAGTGGAGAGGAGAGGCGACGCGTCTGACCTTCGACCCTGTCCGCTCTCCCGGAGGGTTTGACGACGTAATGGCGTGTCACAGTCTCTCACCAGAACCCCGCAAATTGTGGTCGGGTTTGGTGTGTTCGAGTCAAAGGCAAAGTCCCATTGATACTATCCAGCCTGCGCACACTCGCTGACTCAAAGGGTGACTGAGTTGTGCAGAGTACAATACTTTGCGGTTGTGTCCAAGCAAAAATACTGCATAAGAGCATGTGGGAGCTCTTCTAGCAGCATTGAACCATTCAAGGTTAAACATTCTTTGTCTACGCCATCTGAAAAGTGCACTTCCAGCCACGTTAGTCCTGGTCTCGTCCAAAGCTCAGCAGCTGAGCCTCCATTGTTCGCTGCGGCTGTTTTCACATCTCGTGGGAACTGCTCTATGGCGGATGCTGCCAAGATGAGACGACCCGTCATAAGTTGAACTTGCAGTCGACTGGGAGCCGGTCTACTCGTCACTGGCTGACTTTACATACCAGAAGTGCCTCGAAGAAGTGTCAAACGAAACTGGAAGATGCCGCTCTCAGGTTAATGAACTGCTAAAGATGATGGAATTAAATATAAAAACTATTATTTCTCAACGTTCTATGGCACGACAAAGCAAGTGAAGCTGCACTTTTATTTTTACTCGTCGCCCTAAGTGTCGTGAATTGATGATAATGGTGATATTCTGCTGACGCGAGCTAAAAGATTTCCCCTGACTTTTGTTGACGAATGAAAATGAAAACAGGCGACTCATCACCGCTGTTTTCATCCAGGGCGATAGGCTGTCAAGTGTCCCATCTCCCATGGAGATATGAATCGGACATGGCCTGGCCAGCTCTGGTGGAACGGTCGCCGACAGTCACATGAGACGCCGCGGCGGCTGCACAAAAACAGGGGGTCATGGTGTTGTTCTGTTTTGAACGGGGATTGTTTGCAGCTGTGTTGTCCGAGACACCTGGAGTTTCACGATGGAGAGTCCCAATTCGTCTTCATTACCGTAGAGCGCGGCCCACACCGTCACTTAAACTGAGTAATGCTGGCAGGTACAACAGTTTGTTGCCGTTGCAGTCTCACCTGTGACCTCTAGTTAAGTTATATCTCCATGGCTGACCTGCCCCAGAACACGGAGGGCGTCGCCATAATTGCAGTTGTTTTTCTTGTTGGGCTGGTGACAAGAATGTGGCAGGTAGAACTACTGTGTCGTCAACGCCCCAACCACAACCTCCTGCTGAGACCTCTCTCTCTCCCTTCCCCCCCCCTCTCTCTCTCTCTCTCTCTCTCTCTCTCTCTCTCTCTCTTTCTCTCTATCTCCCTCACTCTCTCTTTCTCTCTTTCTCTCTCTCTCTTCCTCTCTCTTTCTCTCTCTCTCTCTCTCTCTCTCTCTCTCTCTCTCTCTCTCTCTCTCTCTCTCTCTCTCTCTCTCTCTCTCTCTTCCCCATTGACACGACCTCTAAAGGGTGGTGATCTCTCCCAAACAGCCGTGTGCACCTGGGATGACGTCTCACTCACTAGACTGCCGACCACAATGGCTGTTAACGCTCTCAGCTCCGACCCAGTCCCGATCTTACTGATCCCGCGATCGGCCGATCCCGGAGCTCCCATTATCACCACAGATCGCTGGGTTTTTGGAGAGACGCTACACGTCTGGGAAAGACGCTACGGATCGCTGAGAGGCACAGGGACAGCAGGGACGAAATGGGCTAGGGCGTTATGGAACGTCGAGTCGAGAGTAAGCACGGGTCACCAGAGAAATACTAACTACGTACGAGAACCCGACAACAGATTGTCGAGAGACGGTAAAAG